CAGCCAAAATCTTTGTATTTTTTTCTAAAGTTTGCTATGAACCTAAAACTGCTCTTTAAAAATAAAGGCTTTTTTTTTTTTTTTTTTTGATAGAGTCTTGCTCTGTCACCCAGGCTGGAGTGCAGTGGTGCAATCTTGGCTCACTGCAACCTCCACCTCCCGGGTTCAAGCATTTCTCCTGCCTCAGCCTCCTGAGCAGCTGAGATTACAGGTAACCGACACCATGCCCAGCTAATTAAAAAATAAAATTTTTTAAGGAAAAAAATAAAAGCCATTTCAGAGACCCAACAACCAAACGCAATCATACCTCTTGATTGGATCACAGTGTAAACAAACTTGGTACAAAAGACATTTGGGCAACAAGTGAAAAAACTTGAGTGTGTTAATGTTGTGGTTGTATAAGAAAGTGTTTTCATTAGATATGCATATCAAAAAGTTTAAGAGTGAAATTATATGTGTTTATGTGAAGTCTTTTGACTTCAACAAAAAATATGTGAAACATGACAAAATGCTAAAAAAAATTCTACATGACAGGTATATGGTGTTTATTATACTATTCTCTCTACTTTTTCTGTACATTTATAGTTTTCATAAGCATAAATTTTTTTTTTCTAAATAGAGATGGGGTCTCACTGTTGCCCAGGCCAGTCTCAACTCCTGGCTTTAAGGGATCCACCCACCTCAGCCTCCTAAACTACTGGGATTGCAAGTGTAAGCCACCACACCCAGCCAAATTAAAAAGTGGGTTTTTTGTTTTTGTTTTTGTTTTTGAGACAGAGTCTCCCTCTGTCACCCAGGCTGGAGTGTAGTGGCTCACTGAAACCTCCACGTCCCGGGTTCAAGTAATTCTTGTGCCTCAGTCTCCTGAGTGGCTGGGATTACAAATGTGCACCACCACGACCAGTTAATTTTTTATCTTTAGTAGAGACAACGTTTTACCCTGTCGGCCAGGCTGGTCTGGAATTCCTAGCCTCAAGTGATCCACACGCCTCAATGCTCATGGCTCATTGTAACCTCCATGTCCCGGGTTCCAGCAGTTCTCCTGGGAAATAAAACTGGAGTAAGAGAAGGAAAAGAGGGACAGACATCCACTCTTTTTTTATGAGTGTGGGTTAGTTTTGTAATTTGAAAATTTTTAACTTAACAAATAGAGTTACAATGTACACTGTGAATGAGAAAAATGTCCTTGTTGAAATTGGGGTTGGCCAGGCGTGGTGGTTCACGCCTGTAATCCCAGCACTCTGGGAGGACGAAGTGGGTAGATCGCCTGAGTTCAGGAGTTCGAAACCAACCTGACCAACAAGGGGAAACTCATCTCTACTAAAAATACAAAAATTAGCTGGGCGTGGTGGCACACGCCTGCAGTCCCAGCTACATGGGAGACTGAGTCAGGAGAATTGCTTGAACCCAGGAGGTGAAGGTTGCAGTGAGCCGAGATCTTGCCACTGCACTTCAGCCTGGGCAATGGAGCAAGACTCCGTCTCAGGAAAAAAAAAAAAGAAATTGGAGTTGGGGAAAATAAAGTATCCTTATTGAGATGGGGGTTGGGGACTGTCATTAAATGCCAGGTAGATTAACAAGCACAGGAAAATGGGAAGAAAAGCAATTAATGAAAACATTACTTGGCTGGGCGTGGTGACTCACACCTATAATGCCAGCACTTTGGGAGGCCAAGGCAGGCTGATCACCTGATGTCAGGAGTTGGAGACCAGCCTGGCCCACATGGTGAAACCCCATCTCTACTAAAGATACAAAAAATTAGCCGGGCGTGGCAGTATGCACCTGTAGTCCCAGCTACTTGGGAGGCTGAGGCAGGAGAATCCCTTGAACCTGAGAGACAGAGGTTGCAGTGAACCAAGTTTGTGCCACTGCACTCCAGCCTGGGGGACAAGAGCAAGACTCCATCTCCAAAAAAAACTAAAACTAAAACTAAAACCTACCAAATTACAAATTACATAAAGGGGAATAAAACCGTATTGTTCTGATACTGACTTTGATAATTAGATACAGGTTCATAGCTATTTTTGAAACACTTTAAGATTTCACTGAACTAGTAAAATAGCAGAGTTTACCTTTCTTCCAAATTACTGCAGCAGATAATAGCAAACAAAGCATTCTATACAGGTAAAATAAAAGAAAGAAAGGAAGGAAGGAAAATAAATATTTAAAAAATAAATATAAAAAGAGGAAAAAAGCCCAGGCGCATTGGCTCACACCTGTTTTCCTAGCACTTTGGGACGCCAAGGCAGGCAGATCACCCGAGGTCAGGAGTTTGAGACCAGCCTGGCCAACATGGTGAAACCTCATCTCTCCTAAAAATATAAAAATTATCCGAGCATGGTGGCACACACCTGCAGTCGCAGCTACTTGGGAGGGTGAGGCAGGAAAATCACTTGAACCCGGGAGGTGGAGGTTGCAATGAGCTGAGATCACACCAGTGTACTCCAGCCTAGGGGACAACAACAAGACTCCATCCCAAAAAACAGAGAGAGAGAGAGAGAGAGAAAGAGATAAGTTATGGTAATCAGTGTAAATAAGAGTTAAATTTTTTGAGCCCTTATGTGCCTGGCACTATGCTAAGTACTCCACACTATGCAGATGGTAGAATTGGCCGGCAAGTCTTTTTGGCATTTGTTTTTGAAACAAGGCTAAGCCCTGGAGAGAACTCCACAGTTAACAACAAACATCTTGGTTGGAAACCCTTAAGGAAAGATGCATTCTGTCTTCCAGATTGACAAGATTCTCCAAGCTGTAGGGGGGATGTGGGAAGAACTAGCTCTGTGGTGTATCTGGGCCAAGACCACAGGCCCCTACCATGAGCCCCAGACACGGCCTGGACACGGCAGAGAACCTCCCGGCCCAAATGCTAAGAAAACAGGAAGGTGGCCAGGAACAGACATGCACACTCTGTCCTACTCCTTCAGTACCTTGACACCATCCCAAGAATGGGAGGCATGGGTGAAGGACAACCAAGACTGTCTTTATCTGCTAACTCAGAAGAATGAGGGGATCAGAGTTTAAAATTATGTTTTTGAAAAATACAGTGTTGCCGGATGTGGTGGCTCACGCCTGTAATCCCAGCACTTTGGGAGGCTGAGGCAGGTGGATCACTTGAAGTCAGGAGTTTGAGACCAGCCTGGCCAACATGGTGAAACCCCATCTCTACTAAAAATACAAAAATTAGCCAGGCATGGTGACACGTGCCCGTAAGTCCAGCTACTCAGGAAGCTGAAGCAGGAGAATGCTTGAACACGAAAGGTGGAGGTTGCACTTCAGCCCAGGAGCCGTGGAGGGGTGGGGGGTGGGGACAAGAGCGAATCTCCATCTCCAAAAATAAAAAAAATTTAAAAATACAGTGTTATTTCTTGCATGTCTGAAATTTTGGACTGAGATTCATATTGTCTATATATACTCTTCTTATTTGATTCTCTTACAACCCTAAGTTCATTGTTCTGAAGTGACAAAACTAGAAAGTAGCAAAGCTAGAACTCAAATTTGGGTCTACCTTCCACTGAAGCCCATGCCAGCTACTGCTCTATGCTGTCTAGAATAGGTTTTGACTTCTTCCCGCCACCTGCACTCAATCTCTCCTCTCAAATCTTGCCAATTTAGACAGAATCCTCTACTACATTCTAAGAAGCCATTATTGAGGGCCCCCACGACCAAGTTTAAATGGCCCTCTTTAGGCCTCCCTTAATACTTTGACGCCATCTGTACCATTTATATTTCTATACGACTATTTCCCCCCTAAACTGAGAATGAACTTTATAGAATCAAAGAATACGTCCGGTTTTATGCACCACTAAATCACTGGAACCTAACACAGGGCTTGACGTAGACTAGGTTTTTTTTGTTTATTGCTTTTTGTTTTTTTTGAGACAGGGTCTTGCTCCATTGCCCAGGCTGGAGTGCAGTGGTGTGATCTCGGCTCACTGTAACCTCTGCCTCCCAGGTTCAGGCGATTCTCCTGCCTCAGCCTTCCAAGTACCTGGGACTACAGGCACATGTCACTAAGCCAAGCTAATTTTTGTATTTTTAGTAGAGATGATGTTTCACCACATTGGCCAGGATGGTCTCAATCTCTTCACCTCATGATCCATCCACCTTGGCTTCCCAAAGTTCTGGGATAACAGGTGTCAGCTACCGTGCCCGGCCCTTGTTGTTGCTTTTTAAGTAGAGATGGGTTTTTGCCATGTTGGCCAGGCTGGTCTTGATAGAACTCCTGGCCTCAAGTGATCCGCCAGCCTTGGCCTCCCAAAGTGTTGGGATTACAGGCAGGAGCCAGCACACCTTACCCAAGTTTTCAAAAATATTTTTTTTGTAGAGTCTTTTTTTGGGTGAGAGACAAAGTCTCCTTCCATCACTCTGGCTGAAGTGCAGTGGTGCATTTTAAAATTGGTCATTATTTTCCCATTTTCATCCCCACACTCCCATCGAACCTGATGTCCACTGTTTAAAAGTGTGAGATTTTGTTTCAGGATGGGATTTATCCTATTGCAAACTGCTAGCTATTATTTTCAACCTCTCTCAGCTAAATGCCCTTGTCACTAATCAAGTGTGGTACTTAGGGCTGAAGTGAACAGTTAAGCCTCCAGTTTACAAACTTGTTTTTCCCTGGGATACTTGTGTTAAAGTCGCACGTACCTGAGTGTGACCTTTCGAGACAAAATCTCAACTGGTGAGTTAATCACCTATAACTATAATTAAATCAAAGATGTCAGATAATGGAAGCGTTGAAATAGTATTTGCTAGGCAAGGGTGTGATCTTTAAAACATGTATGATATATGCTGCCATTCGAGAAGCAAGGAAAACATATTTCCAAATTTCCTTCCAAGCTGTATACCGGGATTGACAGTACTGCGGACAAAAGAAGGCACCAAACGCTCCCTCGAAGCAACGGTACTGGGAGAGCCCTCAGCCTGTGGGCGGGGTCCCGGGACCAAAGGCAGAGGAGGCGTGGCCGAGGGTGGTCCAGGACTCCAGAGGCGGGGCCACGGCGGCGAGAGGCAGGCTGGGAAGCGGCGCCATATTGGCGTCGGCCGCGCTGTATTGTCATAAATAGAGCCGGTTTTGTGGTGTTTTCACTAGTCGGTTGGATGCCTCAGCCATAGTAAGTGGGAAAGTGAGCGAGTAAGCGAGCTACAAGCCACCGGAGGGAAGTGAACAGGGGGAGAAGGGAACAGCAAGAACAGGAGTCCAGAGCGAAAGACACTCGGTGGAGAGGGAGACGCAGGAAGCGATGAAAGAGATGTCTGCGTAAGTGGTGGGGGGCGGCGGTTGGGGTGAGGCGGGTAGGGGTGTGCTGGGGTGGTCAGTCTGTGTCCTCGTTTCCGTTCCCTGCCCCTTTCACCCTGCATGCAGCTCGCCGGGGTGCTCTCCTTCCCGGCTCCCGGCCGGTCCGCAAGGGCACCTCCCCTAAAACCGGCGGCTCACCTGGCCACCCCTGCATGGACTCGGGGACTCCGGGAGTCCCCAGCTGTCCCGCCTCTGAGGACGCCCTCAGACAAGGATGAGGAGGGGGAAAGGTGCCTGTGTCGGTAAGGAGAAATTGTCGGTCACTCGTCTGCCCCCAACACTGTCTGAGCCCGTCTGCTCCTGTCTGCATTGGCGCAAATACCATCCCCCTGCCTCCCCCTCCTCCCTTCCCGACCGGCTGTCTCCAGGTCTTCAGGACATAGCGCAGCCCTTGGGCTTCTCTTTCACATAAGGCTAAAGTCTTTTCACCGCCGTCCCCACCCTCTCCCTCACCCCCAGCCTCCCCACCTACTCACAACATCCACCGGTCTGTACCTCTTGTTCACACTTTGATAAGTCAGAGACAGTTCCCATGCTTGGTAAGATTTTGTTGTAGCTTCTTCCATTTAGGTCTATTAGGAAATAATTTAAACATGCAGAAAAATGCAGAGAATAACATAAGCATCATTTATGGAACCACCACCCATTTCTCCCAAATCGTAACTGTACACACACACACACACACACACACACACACACACACACACACGGTGTGTGTATACATATCTATGTATTTATTTTAAAGAAATCAAGCATTGCAGATGCATCTGAAGGACTTTCCTACCTCCTTGTCTGGTCCCATTCATCTCTTGCTCCAAATGTCACCACACTCTTGAATTTGATGTTTATTGTTGCTTCGTGTTTTTTATTTTACTGCTTTTTTTTTTTCCCCTCAAATCATGGGAGCTGCATGTTTTTTAATGCTATTACTACATACACATGTGTTCCTAATAACTGGCATAGTTACAGTTGTTTTTAGATTTTACATAACTGGTATCACACTTGTTATTCTGCAGCTTGCTTCTTTAACACAGCATAGTATCTCTGAGCTTTGTTCATGTTAGTGTTTCAGTTGTAATTAATTAACATTAATATTGTATTCTATTGTTGGAATACATCCTAATTTAATCCTTTACATGTTAGTGACCATTTTAGGTTGTTTCTGAGTTTTTAATGTTACAGTGTGACAGAGAACATTATTTTACATGTCTCTTTGTGTGCTTGTAACTAGAATTTCTCTAGGGTGTTTGCCTATAAATGAAATAGATGGTTTGAAGGGAGGGCGGGATTCTGTTGTTTACTCCCTCCCCCTTCCCCCAGATGAGGGAAGTTAAGAACCCTAGATTTGGAATCTTAGGACCAGTAGGCTAGTTGGCCAACTTTGTCAGTGTATACAGGTAAGAAAGTGAGACCCAGCATCATAGTGTCAGAACTGAGGTGTAGTTATGGAGGAGAGAATGGAGTAGTGGAAAGAGGTTTTGGAGTTCAGATTCTGGCTTGTCCTGTCTCTTTGAATTTCAGATACTTATCTGTAAAATGGCACTTATTTAATGCCTCTTAGAATTATTGAGATTGAGTGATATTATATAGATATGTAGGTAATTACTCTGTCCTATTCATTTACTATATATATTTACACATATAGAATGCAAACAATACCAAAACACTGCTCAAGCTTTCTCAGAGGTAAAAAGTCAAATCTTTAAAAAGAAATTACAGCTTGAAATAACTAATTGAACTTTTGTTTGTTCTACAACAAAATAAATATGGAAGAGAAAATAACCTGTATTTTGGGTTTTTTTGTGTGTGTTGTTGTTTGAGTCATTTTGGAAGGTATACAGGCTATTTTAGCTAACATTTGATTCTTTCTCTCCACTTAATGAGATATTTAGCTAAAGAGCATGTCTTATTCTGTGCACTTAGTAGTGATAAGCCAGTGTTTTGACCAGTTAAAATCCAAAAACAAACGATCTGTGTTGTATTTTGTTTGTTTGTTTTTTATTTGAGACTGAGTTTCTCTCTTGTTGCCTAGGCTGGAGTGCAGTGGTGCGATCTCAGTTCACTGCAACCCCCGCCTCCTGGGTTCAAGCCACTCTCCTGCCTCAGCCTCCCGAGTAGTAGGGATTACAGGCATGTGCCCCCACAGCTAATTTTTTTTTTTTTTTTTTTTTTTTTTTGAGAGAGATGGGGTTTCACCATGTTTGTCAGGCTGGTCTGGAACTCCTGACCTCAGGTGATCCATCTGCCCCGGCCTCCCAAAGTGCTGGGATTACAGGTGTGAGCCTTGGCGCCCGGCCTGCATGTTATTTTTTATAGGGCTAATTTGTTCAGCCTAAAAAATTGTTTCTCATTTTGAGATTACATTCTTTTGGTGTTAATGGCTCTTTATGAAAGCATGGTGAAGATAAATGGTAGTGTTGGTTGTTTAGTGTGTATGTTTTTACATTCATAGCAAAATTAGAAGTTTTGCCAACCCCTGTTGGTTCCAAAATTTATTTTGAAATTAGTGTTTGTGTAAACTCAAAATCTCAGAACTTCAACTGGCTGAGCGCAGTGGCCCATGCCTGTAATCCCAGCACTGTGGGAGGCTGAGACAGGCGGATCACCTGAGGTCAGGAGTTTGAGACTAGCGTGGCCAACATGGCAAGACTCTGTCTCTACTAAAAATACAAAAATGAGCTGGATGTGGTGGCACACGCCTGTAATCCCAGCTACTTGGGAGGCTGAGGCAGGAGAATTGCTTGAACCTGGGAGGTCAAGGTTGCAATGAGCCAAGAAACAGAGACTCCATCTCAAAAAAAAAAAAAAAATCTCAGAACCTCTGTTGTACTTTATTCAAGACTATAGTTTCCTGATGGCTAAGATCTTTGGAGGGTGGCTCATACCTTCCAAAATATTTCTATTCGTGTAAAGAATTTTATTTCAATGTGAAAATGGCATGGGTACCAGTCTAAAATGAAGAGAACAATTAACTATAGTCACAAAATACTAGGGCTGTAAACTCTGATTCAAGCAGAGGATGTTAATGTAGGTTTCCCAAGGACAAATCTAATTATGACTTCTTTGTAAGAGCCAGATTATTTCACAAGGACCATCTAATGGGATGTTTTTGTTTCTTTCCTAGGGGTAAAAACCCATTGTTTTTACTGAGTGCTTTCTTTCAAGTGGTTGACTGCTTTTCAGAGATTCTAGATCTGGATGGTAGTGGAGGTGGCCCTGGCACAGATCCCAATGAGACTCTAGGTTTGAGCCTGGGTGGTATTGGTACAGTTGTCCTGATGACAACACATGCTGTGTTTGGCTTGAAAAGACATCCTAACCGTGAAAGCTGCAGGCAGTATGAATAGCCCCTTTATAAACATGAACATAAAATACCCATTTTTCCTTAAAAAAGAAAAAATGTCTACCCTTACTGTTAGTACTAGGTAAACTAAGGTAGCTAAATTAACATGAGTAGATTGAGAGATTCAATGTATCAGTATGGTATATACTTAAAATTTTTTTCTGTTGTTTCATTTTTCTTGTTTTCTTAAACAGAAACACCGTGCTGGACAGCCAGCGTCAACAAAAGCATTATGGAATTACCTCTCCCATTAGTTTGGCATGTCCTAAAGAAATTGATCATATTTACACACAGAAATTAATTGATGCCATGAAACCATTTGGAGTGTTTGAAGATGAGGAAGAATTGAACCACAGGTATGTCACTGAAAACTGTAAAATATATGACGGTGCATTATTTAATAATGAATTCTGCGAACATGTTGAGTACCTGCTAGTCTCTACATACAGGTGCAGAAATGACAAAAAGAAAAATCTTGGCCCTCTTGGAGCTTACATTTAGGTAGGGGTTAGAGGAAGAGATTTGTCATTATTAATATTATCAGTATTACACTTATGTGTAATACACATAAGTGCTACTGAGAAGAATAAAGCTGAGTGGGTAGGAAGGCCTCATTGAGAAAGTCACATTTAAGGGAAAATGTAAAGATGAAGGAGGAAGCCATGTGTCCATCTGAGGGAAAAGTGTTCTAGGCAGAACTCTTGAAGTGGGAGTGTAGCTGGTGTATTTGAAGAGTACATAGCATGATACCTGGTTGTCTGAAGCAGCGAGGAAGCAGGAAAATAATAGGCTTAAAGAAACTGAGGTGGGAAAGAGCTTGGAGGGCAAGAGCTCTTAGGACCTTGTAAGGTGTTGTCAAGGTTTGGTTTATTCTGAGTGAAATGAGAAGCTATTAGGGTTTTGAGAAGATTGACATGATTGGACTTAAGTTTTAACAGTCACTCTGGCTGCTGATTGAGAGTCATCTTAAGAGAAGTGCAAGGGCAGAGCAGAGAAACCAGTTAGTAAGCCATTAGGAAATGATGGTGGCTAGAACCTGGAGGATGGTCGTAGAGATAATAAAAAGTAGAATTCTGGAAATATTTTAAAGGTAGGGTTCTTAGAGTTTAATGACTGGAATGTGTGTGTGGGAGAGGGGTCAAGGATGATGGCCAACGTTTTTGGTCTTGGCACCTTGAAGGATAGAGTTTCATTATTTGTGGAAGACTGAGGAAGAAGTAAGTTTGGACAGATCAGAAGTTCAGTTTTGTATGTTATCTTTGAGATGTCTAAACCCCACTTTTCTCTTCTAAATGTGGATTCATTTATACTATTGGTTCTAAGTTTGTTTTAATAATACCAAACCGCTTTAATACTATTAGACAGAAATTAGACAGTAATTAATTCATCTCTTTTAATTATCCCAAGACCTGTTACTAGCAATGAGATAATTCTGGTTTTTAGTACCACATTGAACTGAATTAATTCAATAGTAAAGCCAAGAAAGTTGACAATTCACTATGCCTTTACAGACTCATTGAAGGCAATTTTATTGTTTTTATTAAGCTTTTTGAATTTTGACAATTAGCTCAAAAACTAAAATATTGCCATCGTATTTATCATCTCTTAGCACTCTTAAGGATCCAGAGATGTGTCCTGTGTCAATGGATGTAATAGCATGATTACATGTATATTATGGTTTTACCCTAGCATCAACACAAAGGGTACTGCTTATATGGGTTTTTAAAAATACTGTTTGTTCATTTGTTTGTTTTAATCTGAAGCATTTTTTTTATAGGCTGGTGGTTCTTGGTAAATTGAACAATTTAGTAAAAGAATGGATTTCTGATGTCAGTGAGAGTAAGGTAAGACTGTAAACTATGTGGAATTCTTATTTTTATTATATCCCAGTCACTCATCCTGGCAATAAGATGCAGGTGTTGAGAATTATCTGAAATACATCAAAACTTGGCTTTCTGGTATAAGTGGGAATGAATTGGTCTAGACGGTTGAATTTCTAAGTAGTTGAGGATTTACCCAGAAGTGCTGATATATAGCTTTGAGTCCACATAATTGTCTTGTTTAACTAATCATTTGTAGTAGGCAAAATTTAAATATCAGATTTTACTTAAAAGTCACATTTCAGCCATTTTATTATAAAGTATTAGACCTGGCAATGCTGGGCCTGCCTTTGTGTACAGCAGGAAGAGGCTTGAATGGGATGGGGCTCCTGTCTTCCATTGCCTCATAACCCCCACCACTTCCTGTTTTCTTTACAAGGTGATTAATTGAGCAGTTACTATGTTTCTCATTTGAGATTCCCTTATTTGCCTACTCCCTTGGTTCCTAAGATATAGGAAGTTGCAAACTAATTTATAACTACACAACTTTTTTTTTTTCCTCCTGTAGCTTAACTATTTTTCTCCTGAAATTGATTACATTTTGCTGCTTTGTGTAGTACAGTCCTCTGGGGGACTATTTCTAGGACTTCTGGGGGATTATTTCTAGGACCTCTGTGGATGCTCAAGTTCCCTATATAAAATAATATAATAATATAAGTGAACACAATCTCAGCTCACATGTAAAATAATATATGTTTGCTTGTTACCTTTTCATATCCTTCTGTACACTTTCAGTCATTTCTAGATTACTTAGAATATCTAACACAATGTTAATGCTATGTAAATAGTTGTCACTGTAATTTTTTTTTTTTAATTAGCATGTTTAATTTTTTTTTTTTTTTTTTTTTGAGACGGAATCTTGCTCTGTCGCCTAGGCTGGAGTGTAGTGGCATAATCTTGGCTCACTGCAACCTCCTCCTCCCGGTTTAAGTGATTCTCTTGCCTCAGCCTCCTGAGTAGCTGGAACTACAGGTGTGTACTACCACACCCAGCTAATTTTTGTATTTTTAGTAGAGACATGGTTTCACCGTGTTGGCCAGGCTAGTCTCAAACTCCTGATCTTAGGTGATCTGCCTGCCTCAGTCTCTCAAAGTGTTGGAATTACAGGTGTGAGCCACAGTGCCCAGCCTTAATTTTATTTTATTTTATTTTTTTTTTCTGGAGACAGTCTCATTCTGTCCCCAGGCTGGAGTGCAGTGGCACAATCTCGCCTCAGCTTCCCAAAGTGCTAGGATTACAGGCGTGAGTCATCACGCCAGCCATAAATTTTATTTATTTTTTTAATAGATAGGATCTCCCTGTGTCACCCAGGCTGCAGTATAGTGGCACAATTATAGCTCACTGCAGCCTCAAACTCCTGGGCTCAAGTGATCCTCCCCACCTCAGCCTCTCAAAGTGCTGGGATTACAGGCATGAGCCACTGTGCCTTGTGTAAAATTTGCTTTATTTTTTATGTTTTTTCCCCCCACAATATTTTTTATCTGTGCACGATTGGTTTAATCTGCAGATGTGAAACCTGCAGATATGGAAGGCCAACAATATTTTGAATATAATTGTTTTTGTTTTTGTTTTGAGAGAGTCTTGCCGTGTCCCCCAGGCGGGAGTGCAGTTGCATAATCTCGGCTCACAGCAACCTCCGCCCCCAGGCTCAAGTGATTCTCTTGCCTCAGCTTCCCAAGTAGCTGGAATTAATAGGCACCTGCCACCACGCCTGGCTAATTTTTGTATTTTTAGTAGAGACAGGGTTTCACCCTGTTGTCCAGGCTGGTCTTGAACTCCTGACATCAAGTGATCCATCCTCTTTGGCCTCCCAAAGTGCTGGGATTACAGGCATGAGCCACTGTGCCCAGCCTCACAACTGAATTTTATTGTCTGAGAATCACCACTGTGAAGATTATTTTACTGGCTGTACCAGAATGTTTTGGAGAACGAGACTGTCTCCAAAAAATAATAATAATGAAATTTAGGCTGGGCACAGTGGCTGACACCTGTAATCCTAGCACTTTGAGAGCCTGAGGCAGGCAGATAGATCACCTGAGATCAGAAGTTTGAGATGAGCCCTGCCAACATGGTGAAACAATGTCTCTACTAAAAATACAAAATGAGGGAGGGGATGTTCAACTGGTTGATACCGTTTGTCTCATCACTAGGTAGCCCATACTATTTTATTTTAAGGTTTTTGTTTTTCATAGTTTTCTCATCTTTGCCTTAACAGCAGTCAGTTAAAAGGTAACGTCTCACAGTTGTCAGTGTGTCTAGCTGTAAAGTCCCCTTCTGCCCCTTAATCTGCGTGGATTTAGAAATTAGATAAACACCTACAGAATTTTTTTTTTTCTTTTTTGTGGAGATGTCATCTCACTCTGTCACCCAGGCTGGAATGCAGTGGCGCAATCTCAGCTCACTGCAACCTCCGCCTCCCAGGCTCCAGCAGTCTTCCCGCCTTAGCCTCCTGAGTAGCTGGGATCACAGGCCTGCACCACCACACCTGGCTAATTTTTGGTAGGGACGGGGTTTTGCCATGTTGCCCAGGCTGGTCTCGAACACCTGAGCTCAAGCAATCACCCACCTTGGCCTCCCAAAGTGCTAGGATTATAGATGTGGGCCACCATGCCTGGCCTAGAATTCTTTCTTTTACAGCTTTCATTATTTTTTTCTGTACCTATGATAAATATGTAGAATTGGTTCTTCTAAACAGTGGACTCAGAATAAAGTTGAGTCTCCTAAAGACTATAGTTATTGAATTTACCATGGTCTTTATGCTGTTTACTTTTGTTGCCAAAAGGCTGTCTGGCTCATTTCTGAACTCGGCAGGGTTATCAGTAGTTGAAGTTATTGAATAAGTCAAATTCTGAGCAGGTGAAATGCTAGTCACAAATAATAAAAAAATTAAGTTAGTTAACATCTTCCATTGAGCAGATGAGGTGATTTTTCTGTGTCAATTATAATTGTCTCTTTCATGTTGGGGCAGGGTCTCACTCTCCCAAGCTGGAGTGTAATGGCATGCATAATCATGGCTCACTACAACCTCAAACTCCTGGGCCCAAGCAGTCCTCCTACACCAGCCTCCCAAATAGCAGAGACTACCAGTACACATCCTGATGCCCTGCTAATTTTTGTTTTTTTGTTTGTTTGTTTTTTTAGTGATGGGGTCTTGCCATGTTGCCCAGGCTGGCCTCAAACCCTTGTGCTCAAGTGATCCTCCTGCTTTGGCTTCCCAGAGTATTGAGATTACAGGCATGAGCCACCACCATGCCCAGCCTATAATTCTCTTTTTTTTTTTTTTTTCTTGGTTTTAAATTAAAAGTGACAAGGTCTCTCTGTGTTGCCCAGGGTGATCTTGAACTCTTGAGTTCAAGTGGATCCTCCCACTTTGGCCTCCCAAAGTGCTAGGGTTACAGGCATAAGCCACCACTTGCAGCCTATAATTCTCTTTTTGAATATTTTACTTTGGAAAGTAACTGAAGGATTTGTGTTCAATCAAAGATCATTTGAATCTATACACAATTGGGATACTTAAACTTTAAATAGTGTAGAACCCAGAGCAAGTCATTTTAGTTAAATACAATGGCTGTGGCAAACTATGATTCAGCATATCACTTTCTCATAAATCATGCAAGAATTATACTTCTCAAAGTAGAAAGTTGAACTAAAATATTTTTTTAAGGTCCTGGCTTCTCTGTCCTTTTCATTCATGTTAATTATCATTAAATTTACTGATTGCTGGGCATGGTGGTGCATGCCTGTAGTCCCAGCTACTCAGGAGGCTGAAGCAAGAAGACTGCTTGAGCCCAAGAGTTCAAGGCCAGCCTGGGTAACATTTGAGACTGTATCTCTTAAAAAACTCTGATTCATAAATTTACTGACTCCTTTATAGCTATACAATTATTTGTGATACTCTTAATATTAGTAATCATTAAACAGAGGCATTAACAAGCATACTATCCTATTATATAGATATTTTTATTCAAGTTAATCAGCTGATATTCTTTAGAACTTGTACTGGGCATTGTGAAAAAATACAGAGAAGTAGCAGACACAGTTCTTAACTTTCAGAAATTTAAATATGATTGAAGAGATGAGACATACCAAAATGTTAGTAAATATAGCAAAAAAGAATTTAAAGATTATAATAGCAGAGAACATAGGAAAAAAAACCTTGTTAGGGAATAAGGATAACCAGGGAAGGCTTCATGGAAGAGGTGGAACTTGTTGCAAAAGTGGATGATATGGATACCCAGAGGCTGGACATGGTGGCTCATGCCTGTGATCCCAGCACTTTGGGAGGCCAAGGCAGGAGGATCGCTTGAAAACAGGAACTTGAGACTAGCCTGGGCAACAAAGCAAGACCCCATCTCTACAAAAATTATTTTAAAATTACCCAGGCACAGTGGTGTGTTCCTGTAGTGTCAGATACTCTGGAAGCCGAGGCACGCGGAATACTTTGTGCTCACTAGCTTGAGGCTGCAGTGAGCTAAGATCACACTGCTATGCTCACTTCAGCCTGGGCAACACAGTGAGAGCCCATCTCCATCTGTTTAAAAAAAGGTAAACAAAAAAGATGTTTAGAGAGGATGGGCAAGCACTTTTCGGGAGGGACAATGGCAAATGCAGTGGAAAGGAGATTGGATTCTATAAGTATGTTGGTTGGTTGGTTGGTAGTTGGAGCTTCAGAAGAAAGATAAGAAGGCAAGGCAAGAAAGATCCATAGGAACATATCGTGAAGGTTTTCAACAACAGGCCCTAGGATCCTTACCTCAGTAGTTAGAGAAGGCAGCATTGGCAACTTTTGAGTAGAACAGCTATTTAATAGAGTAATTTAAGAACAACGATGAGTGAATTTTATACAGATCATGAGAGAGAAAAGGAAGATTAATTAGAGGAGGGTTTAGGACGCTATTAAATAACCTAGAATTTAGGGGAGGAGTAGTTAAATAGAAAGGAGGTCACACATGTGAGGGATATAAGTTAAGAATTGGTAAGCCAAGAAGAAGTTTGGTAGTAAGGATGAGAAACAAAAATAGAGAAATCAGAAGCAGTATCTGACTGTTATCATTGGAATAATTTTTTTGCTTGTTTGGGGCTGGATATTGAAGTGAATCAGGATACTTGAGTGAATACCTGATAGGCTTTTGGAATTGGCTCTGAAGAGAGGCAAAAAGTAGCTTTTTTCTTTGAGGCAGAGTCTCACTCTTGTTGAAGCTCAACCTCCTGGGCTCCTACCGCAGCCACCCGAGTAGGTGGGACTAGAGGCACACGCCACCCTGCCCAGCTAATTTTTTATTTTTTGTAGAGAATGGGATCTCATTGTGTTGCCCAGGCTGGTCTTGAACTGGACACAAATGATCCTCTTACCTCAGCCTCCCAAAGTGCTGGGATTATAGGCATGAGCCACCATGCTTGGCCAAAAAGTAGTATTTTAATTACGTTATAATCCAAGAAATGTTAATTAAGCTTGTTAAAATCGCTCTCATAAGATTATGTTGGGAATGACTCCTTTCTTACAGAAAGGTTGTAGAGCTAGAATCAAGAAATTAAACATACCTCACAAAAACTAAAGGAGATATGGGATTGGCCAAGAGTATTATGTTTTAGAGAGCTGAAAGCACATTAGTTTGGTAATTAGGGTTGCTCACTGCAACCTCCAACTTTCAGGTGCAAGTGATTTTCCTGCCTCAGCATACTGACTAGCTGGGATCACTGGCACCACCACCATGCCTGGCAGGGATTATAGGTGTGTGACCCCATGCCCAGCTAATTTTTGTATTTTTAGTAGAGACGGAGTTTCCACATGTGTTGGCCAGGCTGGTCTTGAACTCCTAATCTCAGGTGATCCGCCCATCTCAGCCTCCCGAAATGCTGGGATTACAGGCATGAGCCACAACACCCAGCCAACATTGCAGTGACTTTTATGCTAAATAATCGGAATAATGGAATGTCTTCTGCTTAATTTTATTTTAGAACCTCCCACCTTCTGTTGTGGCTACTGTTGGTGGTAAAATTTTCACGTTTGGATCCTATAGGCTTGGAGTACACACCAAAGGTAACTGCTTTTCTATGTTCTAGTGCTAAGAACAGTCAATAACAAACTTTTGTTCATAATTAGAAAACACATGACAACAAAGTTCCCAGTATTTCACTACTTAGAGCTAATTATTGTTAACGTCTTCTTGTACTCATCTTCCATACTTTCTTCTGTACATTTATTTATGTGTACTTAACAAAAAATATAACAAATAATATATTCTTAATTAAGAAATACTTTAATTTGCAGGAGCTGACATTGATGCACTTTGTGTAGCTCCAAGACACGTGGAGAGATCTGATTTTTTTCAGTCTTTTTTTGAAAAATTGAAACATCAAGATGGCATTAGAAACTTAAGAGTAAGTATCCTCTGGCATTTAATATTTTGAATATAGATTGGTAACAAATACCTATAAAAACCAGGGCTTAAGATTATTGAAATACTTCCTAAGTTACTATTAGGAGATAGGTAGTAAGAGTAACTTTTAATAAGTGATGATTATATGATGGATAAGAACATGGGTCTTATAGTTACACAGACTTGAGTTTGCATTTAGAATCTACCACATGGCTCTTAGATCTTGGTCAGGTAACCTAATCAAGTAACCTAATCCTCTGAAGTTGTTTCTTCGTCTGTAAAATGGAGATGTAATAACTTTTTAATAAGGTTTTTTGAGTATCAGTGAGATAATTTACATAAGTCATTTACTGTCATAGCCAATAATGATTGATACATATCAAATGATGAGTGCTGTTAAGGTTCAGTTAGTAACTCTTAATATGTATCTATCTAGCCATTCATTCAGCAAATACAATTTCAGCACCAGATTCTGGCATTAGTCTTACAGATACACTAGTAAACAAGACATTGTTTACTGAGGAGGGGATTAGGCAAACTAAATAAATAAAATAGTGTTAATGCATTCTGAAGTGCTAGAATAAGGTGAAGGTCAAAGAATGTGTGATATTTGGGGAATCTGAGAATGTTTTTGACAAGGAAGTTAAGAATTTGTTAGGTCTGGGAGTTAAGGAAGACTCAGAAAACCATTGTTTCTGCTAAATCTAAATTAATCTCAACTGTATTAATTACATTTTTAATAGGTTAGTCATGAGCTCTCATTATTTTAAAATTTCTAACTCTAGTAGCCTTTCTAGATAATCAGTTTTCAGTTTACACTCAAGAAATTCTAAGTACCCAGATGATAGCAAGTTGTTTTTTTAATTTTTAAGTTCTGGGATACACGTGCAGGATGTGCAGGTTTCTTACATAGGTACATATATGCCATGGTGAGTGTTTTTTTGAGACTGAGTTTTGCTCTTGTTGCCCAGGCTGGAGTGCAATGGCACGATCTCAGCTCACTGCAACCTCTGCTTCCCAGGTTCCAGCAATTTTCCTGCCTTAGCCTCCTGAGTAGCTGGGATTACAGGCATGGACCACCGCACCCATCTAATATTATATTTTTAGTAGAAACAGGTTTTCACCATGTTGGTCAGGCTGATCTTGAACTCCCGACCTCAGGTGATCCACCCGCCTGGGCCTCCCAAACTTCTGGGATTACATGGGTGAGCCACAGTGCCTAGCCCATTATCTAGGTTTTAAGCCTGACATGCATTAGGTATTTGTCCTAATGCTCTCCCTTCCCTTGCCCCCACGCCCCTACAGGCCCTGGTATGTGATATTCCCTCCATGTGTCCATGTATTCTCATTGTTCAACTCCCACTTCTGAGTGACAACGTGCAGTGTTTGTTTTCTGTTCCTGGGTTAGTATGCTGAGAATGATGGCTTCCAGCTTCATCCGTGTCCCTGCAAAGGACGTGAACTCATTCTTTTTTATGGCTACAGACCATAAAGTTTGCTTCCCAGTTCTGAGGAATATTTTTAAAGGGATAGTAAATTAGATACTGTTACAGGCACTTTCTGTATCTTACATAATACAGGTCACAAAGTAGAAATATTTACCTGGAATGTAAGACCAAAAACATTTTCACTTTGTCTATTGAGTTAAAATACAAATTGGGAGCAAAGATAGTCATATTATTGGTAGTTACGAAGGATAGAGAAGGGATTACATGTTATATGTTATATTTTATAATATGTTATAATTGTTTTCCTTTTTTGTAGGCTGTAGAAGATGCCTTTGTACCTGTTATAAAATTTGAATTTGATGGTATTGAAGTAAGTGTTTAATATTTTTCTGACTTTTCCGACTTTACTGTTAGTTGGAACTGTTTAACTCAAGTTTGTTTTCTGAAATGTGGCTTAATATAAGTGCATATTTCTAAAAATCAAATTACTTTTTTTTTTTTTTTTTTTGATGTTTTTTTTTTTTTTTTTTTTTTTTTTTTTTTTTTTTTGAGATGGAATCTCGCTCTGTCACCCAGGCTGGAGTACAATGGTGCACCTCAACCTCAGCCTCCGGGGTTCAAGCCATTCTCCTGCTTCAGCCTAGGAGACTGAGACTACAGGCATGTGCCACCATGCCAGGCTAATTTTTTATATTTTTAGTAGAGATGGAGTTTCACCATGTTAGCCAGGATGGCCTCCATCTCCTGACCTCGTGATCAGCCCACCTCAGCCTCCCAGAGTGCTGGGATTATAGGCATGAGCCACCACACCTGGCTTTTTTTTTTTTTTTTTTTAAGTAAAGAGATGGGGTCTAAATCTGTGGCCCAGGCTGGAGTGTAGGGACACAGTCATACCTCACTGCAGCCTTGAGCTCCTGGGCTCAGGTGATCCTGCCACTTCAGCCTCTTGAGTGGCTAGGATTATAAGCACACACCACCACACCTGGCTAATTTTTAAATTTTTGTAGAGACACGGTCTCGATATGTTGCCCAGTCTGGTTTCAAGCTCTCAGCCTCCCAAAGTGCTGGGATTACAGGTGTGAGTCACCACCCTGGGCCTCAAATCCTCTTTTTGTTTGTTTTTTTTTTTTTTTGAGACAGGGTTTT